CGACGAAACAACGTTCCGATTGGTAGTGTGCATCCGCGTAGCGAGCTTGCGCGCCGCATTGCCTCGGCTGCAGTCTAGTCATTATGCAGGTACTGGCTGTCACTTCTATTCCCGGTAACCGCAGACCAACGTTGACTATCGCCGAGTTTTCTATGCATCCGATCCTCCCCCGTTGCCTTTCGTCGCCCGATACAGTGGTCGATCGTTGAATATATTAGGTCTCGTTTAAATTAGAATTCTAAGGCACCTTCTGAGTGTCAGAGTACAATACTGATTCATCATTGAATCATCATACGTTTCATTCATTTACTCATCAGAAATTTAGCCATTTTTACATATCATTAACACATGCATTAAATTATTGAGAGATCAACGTACATTTGATGAAATGCAGAGATTCTGAAAGTAGTTTTTTGCCTGGTACCATTTCCAAGGATTGTATTTAGGGTCACCACAAACGGATCTCACCGTGTGGAGGTTTCTCGCGGAGTTCCCTATGAATAAAATCATTGATTCATCGGTTATTGTCTCGCTGAAATATATTCGATCGAGCCACGTCATGGCTATAAATTACACACTCGATGTTCACGGATGCTTATATTAAATTACAAAATTTAGGAAGCATAGGCTTCTTCCAGAATTGCATGCTCGCGTGACCAGCGCCTTCTGGCCTTCTTTCATGGTCCCCCGCTCGACAATTCCGCGCGCGATATGTCCTCGATATAAATATTCGCCGGCATTGCTCCCCAACTGGCTGTTACGTGAGAAATCGAATGGACAGAAACGATCTTCCAAGCCCTGAGCACTTGCTACGAGAATCTTTGCAAAGTTTACTCTCGAGTCTTATCGCGAATTACACGATAATTAACGCGGAGCAAAATTCCCGGCGAGTCTTCCCCCTCGATCTTTTCTACTCGACCGTCTACGAATGCGAATAACCAAGCTTGATTATTCGCGCAAGTGCTGACTCGAGCTCTCTGCAACCGACGTGGCTCGTTCGACCATTCCCGAACTTCTACCACTACCGAAGATATGTATACACGTTATTCTGCTATCTCGGCTGAGCAGTGGCGCGCTCATTCTACTAACTCCGACCGGTCTGACGGTCTGACCATCGTTGTTTCAGCTTCGTCAGTAAAATCCCAAAACTATGTACGTTTCTTGTTACATTTCGATTTTTCATAATTTTTACATATCGACATTACATATCGAGCGAGAATCGATTCTATTGAATAATTGCACCGTGTATACATAAAATTCAATTAATATTGCATGTGCCTCTCAGACTTACAAGTAGCCCTGTTTCTATATTTTACTTATTACGGATGCTCTCAAGATATGGAGAGCTTAATCCGGTGACAAGAACGTGTAAAACAGATAATAAGTTCGGCTCCGTCATCGACGTAACCCATAATGTAGCTATGACCGTTAAGAGGAAGATGTGCAGTGCCTTGTTGTTTCGTAATAACTCTTTTAATGCTCTCATCCGTAGCAGCGCTATGCTTTGTTCAACTTTGCCTTTCGTACGTTGTTGTTATTTAGAATTTTATTTTCTCATGTACTTTGCTACTATAATTCAGAATTTTATGCATGTTTGCTGTCACCTTAACACTTTCACAACCGGCATACAACGACTGGCCTGCTTATGGCACCACGTTGGTGTCACCGGTTGTGAAAGTGTTAACACTTTTTCTGGAACTCCCTGTATACGTATACATCCCACCTGCCATCTCGGCTGAGCAGTGGCGCGCTTATTCTACTGACTCCGGCAGGCCTGTCGGTCTGACCATTGTCGTTTCAGTTTCGTCAGTAAAATCCTGGAATTATTCTACATTGTTTCTTACATTTCGACTTTTGATCATTTTTACATATCGTTCGACGTATCGAGCGAGAAATCGGTTCGGTTGAATAATTGCACAGCGCAGACGTAAAACTCGATTAATATTACATGTCAATATTGGTTTGGTTCTCTATTTAACGCGACCGTTCGAATCGCGATTAAACGGGACACAGTCGGCCGCGTTTTTCCTCACCGCTCCGATGGTTTCGAATATCGGATTTCCCGAACGTCGCGGTGGGAATTAATAATAATGTTTGCCACGACATTATGCGGCGCATCTCGATCGCCGTCCCCTGAATTCTGGTAATCATCTTTCCTAATTGATAATGTTTGAATCACGAACGATAATTCGAACGTCAATTCGAATCGTCACGACTCGCCCCTCTCGTTTCGGATTTACTACGCCCGTGTTCACCCCATCGCGAAAGTTTGTTCGTCGCGCCGCTGCGCGTATTCCTTGTGGCCTGCAACTTTGCCAATTTGTTTGCTATTCATATCCGTTGTGGAGATCCCTTAACGAGCCACTCACGATCCTTAACAACCGCCATAGTTTATTAAGATCGCGCCGGCCTCTCGGCTTCCGCGACGGACTGAAATTTTCAGTACGTATCAGTTGCTCTTTGACAGATTGAAAATTTCATAAGCTCGCACTAATTGGTTTCGCCGGTAAAGGCAATGTTCTCTCAAATTCGTAACAATAGTATACTCGAATATGCAGAGTGAGTCAGTGAAAGAGTCATCTAAAATTATTTCTGTATTTCCTTATAGATAGACAAATGCTCTCTTATCCCAGGATTAATTACAGAGCAGTAAGTTAATGACCATCTCAGTGATTGAAAGTAGAATGAAGTATAGGACAAAATTCATGTAAATTAACAATAATAGGTAAGAGACTAATTTAAGAATAGGTGATGAAAATTAAATGAAAGGTCCTGGGGACGAACAGGACTAACAGTGAAAATCAGTGAGGAACAGAAAGACCGAAAAATAAGAGTAACCTCATGATTAATCGCGTGGGTGGGAAAGGAAGTGGAGACAGAGCTTTCGTCGGATTGAATCGACGGAATCGTTGAAGAGGTCGAACAACGTCCAGTGTTGGTTCGCGACCGTAGCAGTTCTAGTCACCGTGCTAAGCTGACCAAACCTGGTAGTAAATCAGTGCTGAAAGAGGACAGTACCCAGTCTAAGGCAACGAGACGGTGCGTGGAAATAGACTTGTCCCAGCAGCCCAATTAATTCTACTTGCAAATTGTTGATAACAATTATTTCGGCAATGGATCATCTTTCCTTTAAGATAAGAATCCGAAAAGTTCGCAAAATTGAGAATTATCGAATAGTGAATGATCTTATTTTTGAACCAAACAGGAATACGTTTAGATTCTCAAAATATTAGCACAAATTCATTTATTCCATTACATGGTATAATAAATTCATATAAAGCATGTTTTGATAAACCGATTATACGACAAGTTATTACACTTGGCACTTCTTTATTCACTCAGGGTACGGATGGGAATCTATATTGGCGTTGAATTCTCTTTGACAATTATTATTACAATGATTATGAATGAACAATGGCGTATGCGCGAGGGGCAGTTAAGGGTTAATAGAATGTCGAGGCATGGACGGGGCCCGGCAGGCATTCCCGCGTAACCGACCTCGACAAACCGAGCGAAACGAGGTCAGGAACGGCGCGTACGAGGGTCGTTGGTGGCCCGGTGGCTGACCACCCCCTGGCCAGGGGTGTTTCACCCGCTCGGGATCCCTCGGATCCGTTCGGAGGTCGTCGTTGTTTCCACCAACTGTCGTGGAATCGTATTACATCGACGTGTACGCGGCTGCTGCACCGAATTTCCGAAGCTGTGTGCGTGTACTGACCCGCACAAGTACCTGGGGTTTCGGCACTTAATCATTTCAATAAAAACCAGATATCTCTTTAATGCCGATTCGCTGCGAGGAAATCTGGAAAAGCCGAACAATATACGAAAATTGTTACAAACGTTTCGATCAGCTAACAGAAAAGGAATTGAATGTAAATGGTAAATCGCGTTTCAATCTATACGCTAACTATATTAACAATTATAAAGTCGACAAAAATTGTATTTCGATATTTGTTTACAAAGGTATCAGAAATTCGATAACGGTTTGTATCATCTATATTTACATATTTTGTTAACTACTGAAATTAATGTGCTTGTGGCGAATAAAGAGAAATACGCTACGCGACTACGATGGTCTTCGTAACTACTTGCGCTAACTTGAGCTTACGACAAAGTTGTGTATATGCAATACATCTTACGTGCTCAACTTCGTGAGGAACCAGTAATGTTTCCTAGTACACTTTAAAAGCGTTTTTTTATGAAGTTCAGATTTCAGTTTAATGTCTTACACTTTCAGCCTAGTTTCTCATACGATAAATCCATTATGCTTACCAAAACCATTTATGTACAAATATGCATAAATCCACGCAGTTATAAATATAAATCACACAGTCATATGTTTAAAGTTTAGAGCCATATAATTAGCCTCTTACTTAAAACGTTTGAGGAATCAAATGCGGCTTACTAAATTTTGTTTCGATTTTTTGCTTTCGAAATTTATGTTCTCCAAAAAAAACCATTTACGTACAAATATACATATACATAAATCCACGCAGTAACAAATATAAATCACACATTCATGTAATTAGCCCTTTTCTTTAAATGTTCGAGGAATCAAATACGATTTAGCAAATTTTTAGTCAGCAACATCGATAACGTGAAATCATTCGATAAGCAAACGCTCACGACGCTAAGATCGTACGAAAGAAAACTGGAATTGAAACGGTGTACCGAGTATAAAATTGAAAGGCCGTGAAGCAGCGGCGCATTAGTAGTTTGGTCTGCGTGAACCTGAACGGCGCGCCATGTTACGACAGTCACAGAGGGAGGCACGGACACACGTGCGTGCACGTGCACGTATATAAATACACGTACGCGAGCGAGGGTGTGCAAGGACAGGACAGAGCCAGAGCCGGAAAACGGTAATGTCGAAGGCTTCGGAACGCGGAGAACGCGCACACTTTCGCGCAGAAACTATCGTGTGTAAGTTGCCGTTGGTAGGGGTCGGTTCACCGGTGGAAGAAGGGCGCCGAGGGAGGGTGGTAGTCGCGCGGCCGACGGTCTAACGTGGTGCAGTGGCTCATTGGGCGTCGGGACGCCGTCGCGACGCGGTCTCGGCTCGGGTAACACGCACGCACGGGAAGACGCGCGCGCCAAGTGACGCGACACGAGGACCGCAATCAGTGCGCCGTCATCTTCGAGGACGAATACGATCGCGCGCGGTCGTCCTTCACGCTCCATTTCGATATTACGCGCTCGCGTTGACACACGGTCGCACGTTACGGGCGAGTCCTGATTCCGTGACCGAGCTTCCTACGATTCAGTGCGAGGTTCTTCGGTTTCTAGTTTATTTCGAGTTGTTCGTGTATTCGAGCTTGTGATCGATCGGCGATTGTTTCGCGAACGGAGAGGTTCCTCCGTCGGCCTGCCTCTAGCAAAAGTTCGTTTCAAGAGTTCCGACGATTTCGTGAAGCCACGGGATCAGTGTAGAATCAAGTCGTTTGAAGTGTGCGTCGCGGTTCGTCGGGGATAAAAGGAAGATAGGAGTCAGAATACCTGCGTGACGTGGCGACGGCCACGACCGGTGTTCCGATTGATCGGATCGTGTCGAAGGTGGAGGAGACGTCGCACGATGAGAAGACGGACGACGAGAGGATGTCGCGCGGAGGCCGCGGGATTCGTCTTTGTCGTCCGGGTGTTCGACCGGTGGTGGCCCTCGGGACAGTCGGAAAAACCGGTGAGAAGCGACGAGTCGCTGAGGGGCTGAAGGGCAGACCGGCGATGCCGTTGTGTCATGATCTAATGGGACGAGTCATGTCACGTGTCGTCGGGACGTTGCTCGCGCGCTCGACGCTGGTGACGAGCATCGCCGCGGCGCTCGTCGTCCTCTTCTGCTGCTGCAGGTGTACCCGCGCCAGCGAGTTCCCCGAAAGGGAGTGCTGCGACCTGATATTTCCCATCCCGGAACCGACCGGAAAATCCACATCGGCGCCGACACCAACGGGGAGAAGCGGTGAGTCAAGCGATTTTTTAATTCGAATCTCCGTCATTACGGTCGTAGCGTAAACAAAGTTTTGCGCGGGACAAAGACCTATGCAGGTCCTACGCCTACGTACTTCGCTCTGAGGTCAACGAGACCGCGTTCGACGAAGCTTCGCTTGTTGACGTCGACGTCGACGTCGACTCGCCTGAGTTGATTCGTAAACTACACCGACTCCGCTCTGCGTCTCTTTCTTTTACCTCTTACGAGATTATTACGTTATACTTTCTCGCTTCTCGTATTCTAAAAAACACGACAAACAATCGTGGACAATGTGTAGAAAGTAAGGGTCGTAACTTCGTTTGTAATTTACGTAAAACGTTTTTTTCGAAAATCGAAAACTGTAGATAGGAAATCGTGAAAAATTCGAAAGTAAATACACTGTGCATTTTTCGTGAATTGTGTATTTTGGTTGAAAAAAAAATACCAAAGAAAAAAACACTCGTTTCCACGAAGCGATGGTTTGATAGAACGCTCCATTGCATCGCGCGCGGGTGGGGAGTAGAAGCGAAGCCAATAATTGGACAGGAACCAATAACCGTACGTATACCTAGTTTGACCGTATTTTGCTAGCCACCGAGCAGCTATTACAATTTCCGTAGAGGGATGAGCGGATTATTAATTCAATTAGGATCTGTTATTAATTCAACAACGCCGCTTCATCGAGGCGAGTTCGACGGTGCCAGTATTTTAACTGACGAAACAACGCGTAACACCCGCGGTTAAGAGCCGTTAAAGAAGCGCGTTCTCCATCGTTTTCGTCCGCGCAATCTTCCCAATTATTTTTCTACGTCCTACTTTCAGTTTCTCTCGCCGGGAATTTAACCAGCGAACGTTTCTGTCGTGTATTAATCTTCGTCCCCGTCGTGGATGCTCAAACAAACATCCAACTAACCGGCGACCGCGAGGCTTTTCACTCGCAAAAACTTGCTCGAAAATATTCACGATATTTCTCAAGTAGCTTCCTCCGATCGATATCTTTAATTAACTCGAATTTACGGGCCACGGTCTTTTCAAAACGTCTGTGGCTGCTGTTTGGTATTCATATTCTCAACCTGCTCGCGAAGAAACTCTTTCCACCTCCTTTCCCCGCGTTCTCTTCTTTCAATCCTCTTCTCTCAATGGTACGTATTTTAAACAACCGAGAACTCGCTGATCGTTAATGCTCATCTCTCCACTTATTTGTTCTTAATGATTTCACCAATTATTCTTTTCGAAACCGGATAATGGCCGCAATGTATCGTCGGCTGGGAGGCATAACGTAATTCGGTCAAACACTAAAGAACGTATTTGCTGCGATGGAAAGAAGTTCAAATATACTTTATCAGAAAATAAGTATTCGATAGCCTCGATAGGAGAAACTTGTATTTCACGAAGTCAGCAATAGAAACAGTGTTATCAGAAAGAATTACTTTTACATGAAGAAAGAAGAAAGATCTAAAATCACTCATGGACAAAAAATTGATTTCTGAGTAGTACCATGATTTTTATCTTGATTCGATAACACAGAGTCTATTTTTTGTTTTGTATATGAGAATCAGGGAAAATTCAATTTCATTTTATTGCTGTTCAATATCTATTTTGTAGTGAGAAGAGAGAGAAGTACGTAGTTTTTTTGTAAAATAGTTTGTTTTATCATTTTTGGTTCTCTGAGGTAAACCTGCATGACCATCTCTTCTTGAATACATTGTTCCTCGTTGAATAAACAATTTTGTTACTTTGTGTTAAAAACTGTAAAATAAAAGTAAAAGATTTCTAGTATTTCATAAACATTTCACGGTTCTCCATTGAGTAATTTCAGTTCTGACAGTATTGCTTATCGAGTATTTATTCCCTGATAAACTATACATTCTTCAGTTTCATAAATTTTTGACGTGCTGTCAACGTAAAATCATATTCGGAAAAGCGTCCAAACTGTAACATTTTAAAGCACTTCCTGTTCCATTTGTTGCCTTTGTCAATACTCGGTCGAATTATTAGGTCTTACCTCCCAGCCAATAGTATTCTTAAATTCGCCGATGTAATCGTTTTCATCGACGGAGTCGTTTAAGCGCAAAAATAGAAAATATTAAATAATTGCAACGATTAAAATCAACTTCGCATCGCGACGCTCTCAGCTTTTAAATTAGCTCCAGCTTCTTATTCGAGGTTAATGGAGACAACGGTACTTACATTAGAGGGACACGCGAATAGGGTTTGGTGGTCGACGTCGTCGTAGGAAACGATGTCTGCGAGCATTTCGGCCCTCGTAGGGGATGAACTTCGATTGAGGTCGGCCACGATCGAAGGTTATCCGCCGCGTCTATAGTCGGGAAGCAAGTTTCAGGGTGGAAGTCATTTATACCACCCTATCGGAATTCCTCGCCGGCGAAATACCACGTACGTGCTTATAGAGTGTTAATAATGAAAGACGATCAGCCTTTATCGGTCTTTTATATTTCTCTCCCTCCCTTCTCATTTTTATCGAGACAAACTCGATGACGAACAATATTCTCCTCTGCTGTATTCTCTTTCTATCAATGTTAACGCCAAAAGAAATCGCGATTCCTATTCACACTTCAAGTGAATTTGAATTTTTCGAAATTGGAGCATCATGTTTTTATTTATCGACGCAACGGAGATTTATTATTCTTTCAATCGCATTTTCAACTTCGTCAGATGTATTAATCGGTCATCGATATCAGTGTAGGTAGGTAGGTAGGTAGATAGGAGGTTCGCGTCCTAAGTGCAAACCATGAAAAACTTAAGAATATCGAGAAGACGGGGTGAAGAGAAGGAGGAGTTGGTCGTCAAAGGAAACGTCGCGAAACGCGTAGCAGAGGTACGAAAGCGTGTGAAAGAAAAGGCGACAACCCGTCGAGAAGGAATCCTTCTCCGAAAAAAGGCGCGTGCACGAAGCTCGTGTCAGTCGGTTCGCTCGCTCGCGTCCAAAGCCGGCAAAGATTTTCCAAGTGCTCGCGAACGACGTCCTACGACTCCTGTCGCTTAAATGTCGCGAGTCAGCCCGCATAAGGAAGAGGTGGGAGCGAGGCGGGCGGCGCGGCGCGGGGTAGGAAAATCGGGGGAAAAGAAGGCGCATGGAGAACGGAGTAAGAGAAAAGAAGGGAACGAGAAGTGGCCCATTGACGTTAAATCGCACGGTGAGGCGCTTTTAAACGTCCTCGCTATTTTCATGCGACCTAGTTTGCCAGCCGCGCCGTAACGAGGTTGCTTTCGAATAAATTCCAAGTGCCTTCGAGTTCCCGACGCCCCTCTCACCCTTCCCAGGTTGTTTCTCCTACCGAGATTCTCCAATTTTTGGCGTTGGTCAAGTCAAACGAACTCAGCTAAGAAGAACAGCTCGTCCGTTTAATTAAATAGACGTCTAAAATCGAACTCTATTACGATTAGCGTGTACAGCGCTCAAAAGTAATGAGATTTATTGTCGGTGAACGAAGACAAATTTTACTGAAACGGTTCGTCAAAGGTGCTTTAAAAGATTACGAAATATAATTAATCATACCTTCAGATGTATGGAATCTAATAAAATTTTATTCTTACATAACGAAATTGTAACCGTTGTGAACAAGTTTTAGCGTGCTAAATTAATCTCGGCAAAGAGCTGGAATATTCGGCAGGTCATACGACCTGTCTTCTTTCTCCGATAATTCGTATCTATTCAACGTCTCCACGTCTTAGAGTTAGAAATAAATTTAACGAGATTCTCATCATACGTCAATTGACAGCTGAATCCGAAGAACAGAAACCAATTATACTATGTAAAAAATCCATGTTTGTTCCAATTTCGCCGAGCCCACGATATTCGCGGTACATTTATGTGTTCTGTCTCTTACATTAGCGTGATTCAGTGACGCTTGCGTGCACTGCCGTTGATCAAACCTGCAGGTCGATGCGATTTGGAAGAATGCTTCGATATATTATGGAGAACCGACTCGATGACGGCCAATTAAATTACGGGACACAATTTGATTTCCCGGTAATTAATTATTTGACGAAATTTCATTATCGAAAATAAATTCATTTGTCGTTCGTTTCGATAACACTCGGGTCCATGTTCGATTCTAAATTTGCTGTGTGTCGCACATTGTACCGGGAAACTTTCAAGTAGTATTCATATATGCATATACGTCCTTACAAACTTCGTGAACGAGCTTTCAAACAGAAACCGAAGTGTGCTGGAAAAACTGTTGAAATTTCGTTTCGGCTAGATGCACGTCGATCGGTATTTCGGTGGTTTGTTCCGTTCGATCGCGGCGGCGGCGTTTCCTTCGTCGGGCGCGTCAATCTTGTAGTCCTCTGAAAGTGAAGGCGTACCAACGGGCCAGACCCGAGAGGGCCTCGCCCTTGTTTTATTCGACTCGACCTCGTTTCCTCTCCTCGACGGACGTCAGCCGTTCGAAGGAGCCCCGTTATTACTACTTGTATCGCGGCAAAGGGAACATGTCAAATTACGAGAATCTTCGAGTCAAAGAAATGATTAATTAATTGGCCAGCAACCATGCCCCACTTGACCCGATACGTACGCGATCGATTCTTTTTGAACTTCGCTCAGTACAGCGACTCTAATCGTCGAAACGATTGGCGAATCTTTGATATCTTTTTGACCGCAATCAGGACGCGTTTCACTTTATGTCCGAGTCGGAGTCACCTCTTTTATTTGTCAACGTTTTTTATAGTTATGAGATAGTTTCTGCAAAAAGTTTCTACTGGAAGTTCGATTATGAACAATAGAAACTAATATTTTTGATCGATTTTTAGCGGTTGACGATTATTCGTCGAATGGAAATCGCGTTTAACGCTGGTCGGCGGTTTTACATTTCCGAGGCGGTTGCAACGAGGATTATTAATTGTAAGAGGAAACAGACTTGAAATCTCGTTTGCCGATATTATTGCGGAATGTCTCTACTAGGTCGTTCAACGGCGGAACGGGGGAAATCGGGTCGGCTGATAGAGGAGGTTGAGTTCGATTTGAT